TGCTCGAAATTTTGACCATCATGTTTGATACAGCATTCAACGTGTTTTATAACGTTTCTCGTTATTGACTGCAGCATTTCTGCTGTAATGTCTACAACAGCTCTAGTGATCTTACATCGTAAATCTTCTTCATTTTCAGGAATAGTTGCATAGATAGTGTCCTTAAGGATATTATATATTATATTATATATTATATATTATATATTATATATTATATATTATATATTATATATTATATATTATATATTATATATATTATAGATTATATCCCCAAAGGAAAAAATCGCAAGATATCAAGTCCGCAGACTTAGGGGCCATTGCATAGAGCCATTAGTACCTATCCAACAATTAGGGAATCTATCATTTAAAAAATTGACTATAGCACGTGTATTGTGTGCTGGAGCCTTCACCTTGTTGAAAAAAAATGTCTCGAAAGATTGATAATGGAAGATCGCGTAAATATTCTGAAAAAGTTGTTTGTAAAAATTCCAAATATCTGGCACTATTAAGATGACCATGGAAAAAAAAGGTCCAATAATTTTTGTTCCGATAATTCCGCACCATACGTTCACCGTAAATCTGCGTTGAAAACCTCTATCTCTTGTTGCATGTGGATTTACATCGGACCAAGTATGCTCGTTATGTCGGTTTTCCACACAACAATTTGGAAAACAAGATTCGTCAAACCATAATATTCAACAAATTCACACTAAAGAAAGCCACATAAAAGCAGAAACGTTTGTGTTTACAATTCTATCAAAAAAAGTCAAATATATGTAATAACAACCAACTCGGCTTGTTTGCCTTTTATTTTCTTTGTGTTGATTGTTTGTTTACTTCGTTTTAATCTCTTTGACATTCATTTGACAAACCATGTTCAAAAATACTTACAATCCAATTTACTACTTTAATACTTAAGATGCCGATATCTCGTAAATAATGCATGGTAACAATTGTACGCTGCTCGAAAAATTAATCAGGAAGCAATCTGTAAGAGACAGAGAAAAAATTACGAAACTGACCGGGTTTTAACTGAACTCGGGATCCTTTGTTCCACGCATTTAACACTAAGCTTTCTGCCCCGCGACAGCTTCACTGCTCTTACAATTGTTTTGATTTTCCTAACTATTTCTAACCTAACGTGGCTTCGCAATTTTATAAATTGTAAAGATTCTTAAACAATTTTTCACTAGATATGATTTTGGTTGCAAATGATCCCTACTATATGTAGGATGCGGTGCAGTATAGACTTTCGAATAGCGCGCGAGATAGAGTTAGGCAGGATCCGTAAAGACAATACGCGCAGCGACGCACGCATAATAAACAAAAAGCGAGTGGACACAGGAGTCAGTGCGAGACCACGACGAGCGAAGTAACGACGTGATATCTTTTGTATTTTCCTTTTTTCGCAAGTCACCTTTTTCATTTATTGTATCCCCGGTATTTAAAATACATTACATCTATAACTTTATAAATCTGGTCGGATTATTACATTCTGTAAACCCAGAGAAATATATCTTACATGTATAAATATGCAAAAGAATTATAGATATCCGTTTAAAAAACCTATGTTGACCTTTATAACTTGAAAAGATCACGAGTAAAAAAAAACTTTACATGCACTTTATAGTTGACTCAGAGCCGTGCAAATTGCTCTTCTTAAACTTTTTTGTGATTTCAATCAGTTGCGAGATATTTGCTCGGAAATCTATGGACAGACACCCTGTATAGCTCACTGGCTTGCACGCTTTGCCTACATGAGTTTGGCGAGCATATCCTTCTGAATATGCATATTTTTGTACGCAAAAATGTCCGTATATGTCTTTATGTTTGTGCAAATGTTTGTACGTATAAGGTACTTTTATTCGCTAATGGAAGTTGGTGCGTTTATGGTTAACTGTTCCACACCAAGGGCGTCAGCGTTACAACAATACATACAGCAAATATTCTTGGCGCTCGGCTCTAACCGACTCTAAATAGCTTTAAATAATAAATACGTAAGTAATATACACACTCACAAATATTTACACAAACATAAGGATATCTGTGGACATCATGCATACAAAAATATGCATACATAAACAGATATGCACGACAAAAATCGCACAAGCAAACAAGTCTTGTAAAAGAACTTTAAAATGTTTGTAATTCAAAAACTGTATGAAGGTTTTGTGCCTATCAAGTGACCACTAAGTGCCTATTTTTTAATCAAAGACGTGTTACGTCCTGATCAGACTTCACGATTCTTTTCTTTTCATTAAATACCAAACCTAGTAAACGCGGGACCAACAAAAAACTCTTAAAGAATATTATAACGCCAGAGCTGTTTTTCTCACGAGACACTAAAAGCTCGAACTTTCTCACAAAGAAAAATAGCAAGGGGGATAGATATTTCAAAATACCTTGGTCGCTCAGCGTGCCTATCGTCGCCAGAAAAATCGTAAAAGTCAAAACTTGCGGTAACTGGAGTCTTTAGTCGACTCCAGATGTTTAAAGTAAGAAATAAAGAAAAACTGGCACCAGCTAGCCATATATTTGGATTCCGCCTACGGGAACCCTAGCTAGTAGATAGGGTTTTACCGAATGACGATCGGGCAATGACCGCAGTCGCACGCCGAGAAGGCACGACACCTGATACGGTGCACGTGTTCAGTAGGTCTGGGAAACCGAGATGCATTAATCGCACTCTCCACGCGACCCCAGGGCTACGCGACAGTCGTAAACTGTCAAATTTATTAGATCAGTGACCCAAGGCCTTGCGAACTCATATACCGATTCTCAACCCTCCAATCCGAAAGCCGGGAATCGGGGCAAACACCTCTATAGATCACCCTTCATTCCGTCGTATGGTCTAAAGACTACGCCCATCCAAATCTTAAGACACTGAGATGCACCCCACCTATACTAATTAACACCAACCGGGTTACGCCACCTCAAAAACCAACCCTCATCGTATATGGACCCGAAACAAAGCTATTCCTTATTCGTTAGGGCCCCTTTCTTCCTACCCCATTCCAAGTAACCTAATTACCTAAACCTAATCCTATTAGCTAAAAATGACGCCTCCCTCCCCCACATTAAAAATCTTCTCGCAAAACTAATTCCTATTCGATCCCCGCCTTAAAAACCTAAGATTTTCCAAATGAATCCACCCCAAGGAAAGGGTATAAAAACCCGTGTTCTGGTGGCTCCAGACTCAATTATTCAACAGTTCAGACTCAATTATTCAACAGTTCTTCAGGCAGTTTTTTTTTGCATAGTTCTTTACACAGTTTACTCAGATTCTTGAAACAGTTTCTCGAGTAGTTCGGGGCGCAAATTTAAAGTAAAACTAGTCGATACTTTGTCGCGACCAAGTGGTGCATCTCGAATAGAGGGTCCATCACCCTGACGGCACCATCCCGCAGCAGGGTGCCTACACGTTTACAAAAAAGGTCCGACGCCTATACAACACCATCCCTCAACGGGGCGCCCGCTTAAAACCACCGAACCTACTCAACCCGATCAGAAACTACCCTGCAACGAGTAAGTTAATTTATTTTGTTTTTATTTTTCTTTCACTGGTTATCACTTTATTCCTATTATGTGTTCCGTCCTCAATTCGTTTAAAAATTTTTTTATTTATTAGTGAGAACTGAACATTTGCCGCGACCCAGCAATCGTCGGAACCGTTCAGACCTCTCGGCATTCGCACTATGCCTAGCCATATTTCTCCCTCCGTATATTAGATACACGGCGAGGGTCACTGTAAGACCCGTTAGAAGTAGGCGACACTCGTCATTCAATAACTCTCGTACAACCACATACACGCAAACCGACCCACCTCCTGTATTATTCCTCAGGAATCTCCTCAACAACCTCCTCAACTCTTCCCCGTGTTCAACCCTCCACCACTTCCTACTCCCAGATCTATCTCTCCGATCCTTGAAGAGCTCCTAGAGTACAGACCCCCTTCGCCTGTCCGTTTCCATCCTCCTCCAGTAGAGGCTCAACTGGAGGAATTCCCACATAACGATCCGGAGTTCGGCAACATATCCGTCAACTCCGAAGCCACCACCATAGAATACGTCGAACCTCCTCCCAATCTCCCTCACCCTGTATTCACAGGGTTTGACTTCCTAAACCTAGTCCTCTCCCCTGAGGAATAACGCACTGAGAAATCACACACATTTATACTCACAATCACCATTGTAAAAAATACACAAACAAAATTATAAATACACACATGCAATTAAGAATTAAGTTTTTTTGTATCAAAATTAAATATCCAATTAAATTAAAATGTTAAGCCATTAGCAAATTAAAATTTTGTTCTTATTCATTTAATCACCCTCCTTGTTCGTGACCCCCTCACCCATCCCCTCTCAAATTTGTGCACGAAGGTTCCGTCCCGGGTAAAAGGGATTCGATTCCGTGACCCAAAAGGGAACCAACGAGCGGTTGACCTGTCGACGGAGTAAAAACGACTCTTCCAGTCGCTGACCCGTCGCAAGTCCTAAACGTGCCCCTCGGTTCGTGCGGTCAGACCCGTTTACATTGATCGCCGAGCCCAACAAAAAATTCAACTTCTATCAGGACGTAACACATTATATACCATAGTTAACATTGTATACAGTTGTACCATAGTTATAACAAAATAAAATACGTCAAAATAGCTCTCTTTTACAATTTTGAGCTTGAATTTCTCAAAATTGTGATGTAATGGAGTATTTTCAAAGTTGGTATCGTATTGTGCAACAACAAAAAAACTATAAAAAGATATATCTTGCATTCTTTTGTTTTTTTTTTGTTCAACTATGTGATTGATAACTGTTAATCGTTGCTAATTTTTTTATGCAACTATAATCCATTTCTTAATCCTGAGTATAGCAGACCACAATATATGTAAAGTTTTTACGCTATTACTATTGCTATAAACATCAGTGCTTTATCTCTGTGTTTGATATCTCTATTACTAATATTATTATTATTATTATTATTATTACTATTGCTACGCTTACCAATATAAAGAACCATAGTTGTAAAAACGATGAGTCCAAACCATTTATTAAATGCTGTGATGAAAAATAAGACGGCCACAATAATATCAACAATGGTTGGTAGAATTGAAAAAAGAATATAATTGAGTAAATTATTAATCGAATCTGTGCCACGATCCATGATTCTTAACACTTCGCCAGTCTTTCTTCCAAGATGCCAACGTAAACTCAATCCATGTAAATGCCTAGAAAATATTGAATATAAAAATAAATAAAAAGAGAAGCTGCCTTGTTTATATAAAATTCAAAATCATACAGATTAAAGTAAAGAATAAGCTAATAAGTAAGCGTAGATATCCATGCAAATTCCATATAATATGAAAAATAACGCTTTAATTTCTTTCTAAATTTCTTTAAATTTTTTATATAAGCGCCATGTATATTTTATTAGTATATATGTATTTTAAAAAAAAATTTAATCCAAATAAAAAATATTGAATACAAAAAAACTTGGTGCTACTACAAAATATTCTAATATATTATAATATTATATATATAACTTATATACATAATATTATATATATAAAAATATAAATTTTCGACACATTATTCAGTGTAGCAGCGCCAAGCCTTTGCATTCAATATTTTTTTCATTTGGATCAATTTTTTTCTTTTAAATACATATATACAAATAAAATATACAAGTATTATACTTTTTATTAAAGATAGTATTTTTCATATCTAAATATAATAAAAAAAGATATTAACTTTATACAATTGTGCAATTGGAAATCACCATTTTGTACAATTATCATATAATAGTTCTCTTAATAGTCTTTATGGGCAATAGTTGTTTTCATAGAAATTATATATATACAGGATGTCCCATTTTAAAAGACCCATTGGAATATCTTTTTAGAAAAGCGTTTTAGAGAAAAACGTTTTAAACAAAAGTTGTAGGGTTCAGAGGGGGATATCCGATGGTGACATTGTAGCCCAGAAAACAAAGCTTTTAACCTCAAAATAATTCGCGGAAATCTGAAAATGTGCAGAGGTGTTTAATTAGTTTCTGCCAATCATGTCTGAAAATCCCCCATGATTCCCTCCCTTGCTTCACTCATAATCGATGTAAAAAAATTGTTAGATGATACATATCATGTAAGCGGCGGAAAACAAGACATAGAAAGGTATTAATAAGTCATATGTTATTAACCTTTAGATCGTCGGCAAATGAGGTGTCATAAATCAGTAAATTTGCCGTAAAAACTCATATAAATATGTCAGGGATATGTGGTACAAAATTCTTGTCCAAGCTCAAGCCATTATAGTGGCTTTCCGGCGGGGAAAGGAGAGCAAAAATTAAAAAATGTTTAATTTCGAAAATAAAGTGTTTATAAGAGTATTTAAGATCGCTGATCACTATTATGAAGTCAGATTTTTAAAATTTTCCACGATTGCACCAGTATTGCAGATCAAACCTTAGCACAGAGCTCGGAATTAGTTGCACATTTCGGGCCGATTCCCGAGACGACGCCTCCTGTTCCCCCACTACCGCTTGGCCGCTGGCAACCGAGCCGCCGATAGCTCTGGCTCAGGAGCGTTTTATATTAGAAATAGGCTGGATTGTTTAGGCATCTCTCAGGAAATCGTAACATTTTCTTCGCTACATAAATGTTTATTTTCATTAATAATTAAATATATATATTATGTATTAAATTGTTGGTAACATTTTTGAAAATTTTGAAAATTTTTTGAAACCCGAATAACTGCCGTTCTATGGGTCAGATTTCGACGGGTCAAGGTGCGATCGACGCGGGAGGTCGAATAAACAAGGCATTTTACGTCATTTTGGTCCTATCTGGTATTATTCCCTATAATCCCTATAAGGTCCCACATAGGATTATTGCACTTTTTGGTACATCTTAGGTCAATCTGTTGTAAAAAAGCCAATATCTGGTAAAAAAAAAATAATTCTCAATTTTTTTTAATTTTGTTGTTTTAGGTCGTAATTTTGAAACTTTGACGCGGCGGGGAGAGTTGAAAATATTATCCGATTGGATTGCACTTTTACACACGTCATATGGATGGCAAAAGGCAATTTTTTCGCACTATTAGAATTATGAACTCGAAAAATCGGTTTACCCTCCCCCCTCGATGTTATAGGTGCCTCCTCAGGGGGCACGAGAGGTGGCGGTGCCCCTCAGCGGTGGACCGCAGCAAATGCTGCCTCCACTGCGGGGGCGCCGACCATCTCGCCGGGGCATGCTCGCAGAGAAGGGCGAGCTGCCTCGTGTGCAAGGAGGCGGGCAGACACTCGGCCCACCGCATAGGTAACCGAGTGTGCCCGGTCGTTTCCCCGAGAGAGAGACGCAGGAGGAGGAAGAGGAAGGAAAAAGGGGGGACAACTCCTCCCCTCGACCCCACTCTCGAGAGAATGGAGGAGGGGGAAACTAAATCCCCCTCACCACCTTCATTGATGGAGGTGGAGGAGGAAGAGGGGCCCAGGCCCTTTACATCGCATATCGCGATGGAGACGGAGGAAGGGGGGATCACCCCCACTAGCCCTATGTCTGAGGAAGAGCAAAGGAGGCTTAGGCCTCCTCTTGGAAAGGACGGCAGGGATGGGTCGGAGAGAGCTATTACAAGTCCTTCTCCAACCTATACCCCGGAAAGAAGGAGAGAGGGTGGCGGGAGCCGTAAGAGCTCCGCGTCATCCTCATCAATACCGCCGGAAAGGAGGAGCACAAGGCCCCCCCTAACCGGAGCGGTGAGAGAGGAGAAAAGAGGAGGGGAGATGTTCTTTGTCATAAAGA